TCCACTTGACAGCCACGATGGACCATCACAGACGGATGTGATCTTGATGTTTCTGCCCGGATTTCAGGTGGACCTCGATAACTGCTAGGTCAGCCTTATGGGAGGTGGGGACAAGAAACTCCCCCAGATTACAGAGAACAGATGCCAGCTTTAGCATTCATGGAGCGGGAGTAAGCTGCGAAGATTAAGAACAGAGCGCCAGCATGGTGCCTCCTCCTTAATGGGACATACATAATATCCAAGGAGGATCAGGAAAAGACAGCCAGAACCCTCATTAGACTTAAAAGCATCCAGTGAGGTTGGAATGAGCCCAAAGGGATAATTAGAAACACAGAGTCAGGACTAACCCCTTTTACTCTCAGCAGAGAGACCCACCTCAGAAGCCATTCATCTGTAGTTAGTGTCATCTACAAATCACCCTTGACAGCTGTCACGGGCACAACATCTGCCACTCAAGACTGAGCTTGCTGCCCTCAGCCCTGGGGTGTTTGTGCATAGAAGAAGCTGAGATTGCCCCTCTCCTGGGCATTGTCCTTTGCCAAATAGAGGTAATTTGCCCAAGATTATATCCCAAGAGCAAAGAAGAGAGCCACTTTTGCAGAAGTAGCTCCTTTGCCAGCTCTGGATGGCCAGCCCAGTTCCAGAGGTCATGTTGTGGAGCTGGTGAACCTGCGGATGAAACTCAAAGAGAACTACTATTTTCTTCTCTCCATCTGGTGGAAGTCTTTATGCCTCACCCCGGTGCACTGAACTTTCTTCTATGCAGAGGTCTGGCTTTAGCTTGTGAGATTTGGCTCTGCCCGGGTCTTAAATGTGGATACAGAGGCACCTGGGCCCTTCCAGAAGGATTTTGAAGAGCTGAGATGTTTTCTGAGAAGCAGACACCTCAATCCATATGTGGTGGAACCTTAGCAGGAAGGACTGCAGGGACAGTTGCCAACTACTGCAATGCTACAAGAATATGCCAGACACATCACCAGGGTGTGAGCGTGTAGTTGCCCTGAGCACATCCCCTCAAGATGGTGCTTTGCAACAATTTGTGGGGAGATACGCTAACATTCCTCTGCAGAGAGATACAGTTCTGAAAAGACAAATCTTTGTGCAATGTGTTTAAAATTCTGCTGTGTGTCAGGAGCTCTGGGATTGTTTGCTAAATAACAACGCTGCACCTAGCCTCTGTGTCAGTGTACCTGGGGTGAGGCTGGAATGTGCTTGCCTCCCTCCCTCCCTCCCTCCCTCCCTCCCTCCCTCCCTCCCTCCCTCCCTCCCTCCCTCCCTCCCTTCCTCTCTCCCTCCTTCCCTCCCTCCCTCCCTCCCTCCCTCCCTTCTTCTCTTCCTCCCTCCCTCCTTCCTTCCTGTTACCTCTGACTCCCAGGATCTCATGAAGTATGGGGCTGACTTCAAACTCAGGATTTAACAAAAAAATGACCTTGAACTTCTGATCCTCCTGCCTCCACCTCTCCAGTGCTGGGATGACACTGCACCACCATGCTCAGTTTATGCAGTGTTGGGATGGACCTTTGTGTATGTGGTGAGCACGCAGCCTCAGCTGAAGCCCTGCATTGCGTTTCTAACAGTTTCCCACGTTTCCTGAGCCTGCTGGTCCTGAAAAGCATAGCTTAGGAGAAAGTCGTGAAAAGCAGACACACTGCCAAAGAACACCATCAGAGGCACTCTCCCTACCCACAAGGTTCCTGCTCAGCAGCCTTGGCTGTCTTCCTCAGCAGTTATGCCCCCTCATTGGAATCACTTCCTGCTGCCTCATTACCAGCACACAGTGGACTCAGGTCCTGCCTGGGATTAGTTGATGCCTGTGATAGACACTGGAGGAGAAACAGGGCTGCTACACAGCTTGGAGAGGTGTAGTTTCTACAGAATACAAAAATGACCAGCAGAGGGCAATAGTGGGACAGAGACGCCTCTGTAGAGCCCTTCGTCCGCCTAGATACCTGGAGGTGTCTGCACCTGCCCAGAGTCCTCCTTCCCTTGAGCCACGAATGTTTGGTCGCGGCGAGAAACCATGCCTTCTGTAAACATGAGCATTGGCCAAGAGTAAGCTTGCACACTCCCAGGTTCTGAGAGAAAAGTGGGGAGAACGTGTGGAGCCCCATTTCAGGTATATCCAAGAGCCCTGCAGCATGAAGGGCGGGCTTTTCTCAAAACGATTGGCACTGGATTGGCAAGCTATGCCAGTTTACACGTGCCTTTGAGAGAGGGGAACTGTTTCTTCCTCCCCAGTATCAAAGACTCTGTGTTCACGGCATTTAGCAGGTTCCCTCCTCTCCAGTAAGTCTGATTCTTGCTAGTGTTCAGAAGTCTGGCTGGAAGCTTCTCCTCCCACAGGTAAGGGCAGTTTTGGGGGTAAAGGTGACTCATTTAAAAGGGGATTCAGAGGTTGAAGTTCTGAGGTGGGGTCATGTTATTTAAGTGAACTCTGGGATGATATGGTGTTAGACTTGTTTGAACTCAAGGAGTTCTGTTTTAAGAAGTATTTACCCTGATGTTTGGAATATACAGACAGACCAGGGAGAGCACTCAAGAAGCAGATGGGACAGACCCTTAGAGGGACATCAGGGGAGGTGACAGGGCCAGAAGCAACAGGGTGAGACACTGCTCTGCTCCTCCGGGGAGCACTCCTGTGGCCAGGTCCCTGGTCCTTTATGATGTAAATCCCAATTCTTGACTTCCTTGCAGGAAAGAATTTCAGGACAAGCCATTAGGAAGCAGAGCTAGGGGTTTGTTTGCTTGATAAACATTGTTAAGAAACTCAACAACAGGAGTTAGTGGAAAGGAAGACAAGTACCTAGGAAAGGAGAGAGGCTCACTCCAGAACACCGCCGCGGGCTGCTCAAGCACAGCCACTATGGACTGTCTTCATAGTTGTCGTATATCACAGTGCTTACAGTGGCTTCTGAAGTTAAACCTCTAAGCTTGCTAAGGAGCTCAAATAAGGTCACAGGAGGGGTCCTAGGTATTGGATGAAATCCCTGCTGGTAAGAAAAAAGCCCAGGTCATAGCATTGCAGGCAAGTCGGGGTCTTCTACTGTTAACAATGATTTCCCATGTAAGGTCCCTGGAGGTATATGAGCACAGAGGAAGGCTCCATTCATGGGCATGTAGATTCGGGCATGGTGCATGGTTCTGTGCTATTTGAATGCTCTGAAGACTTGCTGGGTGGGCAGTCTTCACAGCCAAGGCTCTCGGTTGTGCTGGGCTGGGATTTCTGATTCTCAGATGACAGGAAGCTTAGTCTAGCCTCTGGGACAAGGGGCTCGTGACAAACGACAGAGAGGCCAGGAACATCATTTCAATTGCTTGTCCTTAAGCTAGGGCATCTGGTTGCCTACATCACATTCTCAGAGGGAATGGTGATATCCAATGGCTGAGCACAAGGCCCTACAGAGAGACCCTGCTCCAGCTTTGGGAGAGGAACAGGCTTTGGCCCGGCGTGTTTCTCCCTCTTCAGTCTTTCCACTCTCTTATGTCTCAGGTTTCATTTCCCCATTTAACCTGATAACCTACATTTTGGTTGTCATGGCAAGCAGCAGCCTCATGCGTTAGCTTGGGTTTTTGTTTTGTTTTCAGATTTTAGACTCATTATCAGCCTGTCTGCATACGGGTTCCCTCCTCTGGGTCACTTTCTCCAGTGTCACAAAGGTCTAGCCGCCCTTCCTTCCTTCGTGCACACGAGGGTTCACACGTGTGCAAATGCATGTAAAAGCCAGAGGTCAGCCACTCGTTGTTTGGTACCTCAGGTGTCAAGCACTATTTTTGTTTGATAAGGTCTCCCATTGACCTGGAACCCACATATTTGTCCAGGATGGCTGGGCAGGCATCCGGCCTCTGACTCTACAACTCTGGCACAGGATCAGGCTCACTCAGGTGAGTGTTCGCCAAGCACTCTTCTTCTCAGCCCCGCATAGCCTTCATAATGAAGGGACCATGGACATGTGACAGCCTACTCACAGTCATAACTGAAGCAGGGCAATAATTGTGGAAACAACTCTCAAATGACTTTGTTAAAAGTGGTCTCCTGTCTTCATATTCTAGTGGCCATAGCTTCAAGGCCAGAACCAGGCTAACCTCAAGATCAGAAAGACATTTTCTTAACTGCAAATGATGAAAACACACTTTAAGTAAGATTAAAAAACAAAACAAAACACATTTCCTGTTACTAGCAGGGTAGAGAGTTACTTTAGAAACCAACTTCAAGGGATGGTGTCATCTGAAATTACAGGACCTCAGAAACTCACTAAACACAACAGTGACTTTCTGTCTTGTAGCTTATAGTCTCTGTAAACTAAGCCAAATTTAGAGGAGAAAATCCCAATCTTGGAATCCTCTTACCACTCACTGAGGACAAAGTAAGGACAAAAAACAGTGTTCTGTTAGAGTGCATTAATTCATGCAGAATGGTTGGCAGGGCATTTCTTGGGACTTCTAAGTGGCAGTTTGTCACATGATTAGTACATGTGATTAGTGCTGTCACCTTGACAGGAGCTAGACTCACCTGGGAGAAGGGCCTCAGGCATGTGGGTGGTGAGATTATCTTGATTACTTAACTGATGTTCAATGGCCTGACTGTGGGCCATACCATTCCCTGGGCAAGGGACCCTGGACTACACAAATGGATCTGGGCAGCAGCCATCTTCCACCCCTGAGTCCTGCGATGGGATCAGTGGCTTCAGGCATTTGCTGCCCTGACTTTCCTACCGTGAACTACGTACGAGGCAGAACAAACCCATTTTCCCTTACGTTGCTTTCATTCCAGCTTCGGGAACAGAAACTAAGACACTACCTGGCGAAATAGTAAGGCTTAGTGTGTGGATAAGTAGTGATGAACTATTCTAGGGTTAAAACAGAAGAATCCAGTGTCCTTTCAACGAAATGATTTTGAGTCATTGAATTTTCAGAAAATTCCAGTCTCTTGCCATCTATTCCAGAAGCTTTCGGTAGAGGGCAGCTGAAATCTCTTGGCGAAAAGCAGGCGCCATTGGAGCCCCAGTGGCCGCCGCAGCAAGGGTGCCTCTCCAAAGCCAGAGCTTGAGGAGGGAGGAGCCGGAGGCGGGAGGCCAGAGCAAGAGAGCACCGCGTGGGAGGACTGCGCAGGGCCAGGCGTGTGTACTGGAGGTGCACGGCGGTGGCGCGGTGCTGGTGGTTGCAGGTTGTCCAGAGCCCGGGTGGGTGCAAGAGGCAGCGAGGGGGCAGAGTAGGACGCGGGACGTTGCACTGGAGGTGCAGGGCTTTGGGCATTGCACGGGCGCGCAGTACTCTGGGAGGTGCATAGGGGCGGTGCGGGGCGCAGGGCAGCTGACAGCGTCATCAGCCGGGAGCAGCGCGCGCTCCGCCTCAGCAGCCTCTGCATCGCGCCGCGCGCAGCGGGTCCCGGAGCTGCGCCTGGAGACTTGCCGCGCTGAGCCGGCTCTCCCCAGGTAAGCGACCTAGGCTCTCAGCTGGAGCTGGATGTAGCTCGCGTGTGCCCGGTGCTTTTAGCAAGTCCCGTGATCCGGATTACTCTCCGGGGGGTGAAGATCAGTATGCATCCCAGAACTGGGAGAAGGGGACCAACCAGCCTCATCCCGCACTCTCCAGGAGAGGAGGGGAAGGGTGAGCACGAAGCCATAGCTCAGTTGGATGAACGATACACTGAACATCTAGCATTGTTTTGAATGAGCAAAATCTCTAGGTTTTACACAGATTAGGGACCCGGTCGTAATAGGAGTTGCGGTTGGGAAAATCCTTTGATTGCAGGTATTGTCATGGATGCGGAAGTCGATGCCATGAATTTAGGAAAAGTCACGGAAAGAGGTACAGCAAGAGAAAGACGGTTTCAGAGCTGAGAAGAGACTGCTGGGGGATTCCTCATGCTTGGACCCCAGCCTCTAGATTTTAATGCTCTTGGAAGAGCCCCGCCTAAGCGTCTCCTGGACCTGCTTGGGATATCCACGGGGCTCCCTTTCTTCTCCCGGTGGGAAGCTGGGAGCCTAGGTAAGGCTCCACATCTCGTCCTACATGTAAGAACATGGGTCTCCATGAAAGGACAATGATAGCTGGCTGCCCACGGGCTGGACTTCTCCATCCTGTTCAGCAGTTTCATGTCCCAGTCCAGATTCTTTGGGGCTAGGGGGACTTTGGAACTGGACGCCCCGCGCCTCGATTGTTCCACACTTTCAAAGGTGGAACATAATTTAACTTGAGTAGAGGAATTTGTGCACAGGCGGCCTTGCTTAGGGATTTACTTCACATTTTGGTCCTTGTTACCTTAAAATCGTCCCCCGTATATGCTAGTTTATCCTAGCAGAAGTTTTATGATCTGTTTGCTTTAAAAAAAAGCCACAAAATAATGTTTTAAAGGAATGTTTTTAAGCAACAACAAAGAGCTGAAGTATTTTACATCTCAAATCATTCCAAATGTGCTCTTTCCCACTGGCATTTGGATTCGAGGAGGTGGAGTGGGCGGGAGAGAAAAGAGGAGGATAAAATTAGAATAAATTTAACAAATCTGTATGGGAATCATACTTTTTTATTCTTGTTGCCTGAAATTGCAAACTGTTCAGTTTTATCTGCACTAGCCCTTCTTATTTGAGAGTCCCCTGAGCTGGGGCACAAGAAGACACAACACCCCCATGTGTCCCACCCCCAATTTATCTGAGAAGCAAAAGATGGTACAGGGAAAGAGGCCCGTTTGACCGAGGACACTGAATCTAGAGCTAGTGGCTGCTCCCTGGAGAATACAGGCAAGAAACCGGGAGAGGCAGGCCAGCTCCTGAATGTAGCCAGGCTCAGAATCTACGCTCGGTTTTCTTGCCTTGTAAACCCATGTGCAGGGCTCATACGGAAACCTCCAGAAGCTCTAGTGAGGATGCTCCCGAGGCTTGGGGCACACGGCTTGAACGGCATGCTGGGCGGGGTGGGGACTCCAGCAGCTGGCTAGCAACCAGCCTTGCCAACAGAACTATTTCAGCCCGAGAAGGGCAGACGGGGATCCAGCTACCAGCTTCACATATGAGTCCTATCCTCAACTAGCGCACGTAATTCTATATTTCACTAGAAACGACTTATCCTAGTCACAAAAGACAGGCGTCAGATAGAAGAACCCAAAATCTTTGAAAAAATAATGGGGCTTTGTTTTACAAAGAAAGAAATGATAACTCTTGCAGTTAAAAATATATTGCTCACTCTCAACATCCAAGGGATGGTTGGCATGTTGAAATCAGTTGGTGGATTTAGATAGAAATCATCACATATCCAAGATGAATGTTTTCACACCAGAGAATTTCTATTCGACAAAGAGAATTTTGGTCACCCCTGGTGTGAAGGCTCTACTGCCCTAGTATCCAAAGTGCTCAGCACTGACTTTTCAGTGAGGATAACCAGTGTTCACTCTCCATCTCACGGTAGCTCCAACCTCCCCACGGGTCATCTGAGCAGGGGCACATTGGCCATGGCAGATGTCTTTTCAGGGCTAAGCTGATTTCTATAACATTAATTGCTTTTGGTAATGATTTTTTCCAGGAAACGACTGATCTATCAAAAAATGAAGATGAAGGTTTCCATGTTGTCAAAATTGCTGATATCCCCCCCCCGTGTGTGTGTGTGTGTGTGTGTGTGTGTGTGTGTATGTTTGTGTGTGCAAGTGTAGGCAAGAACCTGTAGGTACATGTGCACACACATACAAGTATGTTAATTTGCATGGTGACCAGAGATGATTTTTGAAGGTCTTCTTTAGTGACACTCTTACTTATTTTTTGAGGCAGAGTCTCTTACTGATTCTGGAGCTCACTGATTTGATTAAGTTGCTGGTAGTGAGCCCCAGGAACCCTCCTGACTCTGTCTCCTGGATTACAGACCTGAACTGCTGTGCCTGGCTTTTTTATGTGGGTGTCACAGATATGAACCCTGGTTTTCTTTTTCCTTGACTAGAGCTATACTGACTGAGCCAGTATATACTGACTTCAGCACTGGAGCTCTTCAAGAGTTAAATTTATTAACACCTGCGTACATAGTTAGGCACGAACATAATACTATCCCATTGCTTTCAAATAATGCTTTAGTTTTTAATTACATGTCAGAGAAGTGCCTTTTCCTTGACTTGGTGAGCTGTTTTAGAAGAGATGGGAACTGATATCCCCTCTCTCTTTTCTGTTGTTTCTGGCAAGTTCTGAAAAGAGATGCCTTGCTGCAAGGACTGCCCCGTAAATCAGTGCTGTCCAATAGACATGGAAAGGGAGTGTTGCCTGCATAATTCAAATTGCACCATTCGTCACACCGGAAGATAAATGGAGCAGGCGAAATTAATTTTAATATTTCCAAATTTGGGTTCTCACGTATCAAAACTAATCAGTTACAGGTTTAGTCAGTATAAAGCATCAATACTTTTTTTCTCCTTTCCCCATGCTAAATCTTAGATCCACAAGACATCTCAATAAAGATCAGGCACTCGGTGTGGACAGTGACTAGTAAAAGCTAAAAGAGGCCAATGAAATGGCTTAGGGAGTAAGGGTGCCTGCCACCAAGCCTATTATTGACCCTGGGTCTACCTTGGGGTTCACATGGTGAAAGGAGGAAACTGATTCTTGCATATTGTCCTCTGACCTCCAAACAGTCACCCTCACAATTCTCCCATGCATGCAAAATAAAGAAATAAAATGTAATAAGAGTATAAAATAATAATAAAAGTTAAAATGTCAGGGTCCATTGCCATTTAAGATCATTAAAAACAAATAAAGAGTCATACTGATACAAGACCTGGCTCTTCCTCCCTTGCAGAAATCCTAGCGTCTTTGTGTGTGCATGTTCAAGTGTGTGCCTGTGTGTATACACGCACGTGAGTGTATGTGTATGTGGAGGCTAGGGAGCCATTTCAGGAGTTCTTACTTTTTGGGACAGTGTGTCTTGTTGAGTCTGGAGCTCACTGATTGATTAGACTAGCTGGCTACCTAGCGCCAAGGCTGCACACGCCTCCACTTCTCCAGCATTGGGATTACAAATGTGCACTATGTTCTGGCTTTTTATGAGCACTGGGCATCAAACTCAGGTCCTGTTTGCACAGCAGCCCTGAACTGACTGAGCTGTCTGGCCAGCCCTCACATTTACTTCTATGCTAGTAAATATAAAGGAGCAGCTCACATAATTGCTCTGATTCTATGAGAATTAGCTGTCTGCCTCCAATCTTTCTGGAGACTAGAGGTCTGTTATCCCAGAAGCCAGGACAGGCACCAACTTCTGTCCCAGGAGGTACTGGCCTGGATTTGCTTCAGCTAATCTTCATTTTTAAGTTCCTTTACTGAAGAAGTACCAGCAAAGTCATGGTTAAGCTCATGAACACTGGGCAGGCAGTGACCTGTTGTGTCTCTGACACTGTGTCTCTGGTCTTTGGGTGCCGTTTGCCACCAATATGAGTACGATCAGTGTTGAAATATACTTGTTTTTATGTCACTAGATAAGGCTTGTGTGAAATGTAACTCTCTACACTTGACTCTTGCAACCTGCCTGTAGTTTGACATGGTCGTGAGTGACCTGTTCAGTGTGGTTCGGCAGGCCAGTCAGGGCTGGAGAGGCACCGGCTGAAGCCACCGGGACCTCTGCCTCAGAATTCATGATGGAAACTTTGAGAGCAGCATTTTGTGTTAAAGAATTTCAGGCAAAAAAAAAACTAAACTAATTAATGTCTGGAGAGGGATTATTTTTCTTAGAAAAATGGAAAAACTCGAGAATTTTTTATTAGAGCTGTGTGCACACCCACACAACCACTCACCCACACACTCACACACCCACACACTCACACACCCACACACATACAAACCCACACACACATAAACCCACACATCCATAAACCCAGACACCTATATTTCCACACATTCACAAGCCTACACATCAAACACACAAACCCACACACACCCACATATCCACATACCCACACACTCATGTACTCACACATCCATTATACCACACACCTATATGTCCATATCCACACACCACACCACCCATACACCCACACATCTAAACACCCACAAACACATGTGCTGCGGGATTTCTGCCCAGTTATGTAGCTGCCTCAGAGCTCCCAAATAACACATGAGACACTATATTAATTATAAGCTGTTGGCTGGTGACTAGGACTTTTTTTTATAGGCTAACTCTGTCTTAAGTATTAACCCATAACTACTAATACATGTATTCCTACATGGTCTTTTCTTACAGAGAATGCTAGATCATGCATCTTCTCCTCCCGGGATCTCATGGTGGATTCACTCTTACTACATTTCCCAGAGTTCTCCTTGTCTCCTAGTCCTACCTATCTTGCTTCCCTATTGGCCAACAGTGTTTTATTCATCAACCAATAAGAGAAACATATGTACAGAAGACTTCCCCCATCACACAGGCATCCACATATCCACATACCCATATTCCCACACTTCCGCATACATACACATCCATATATTAGCCAGTTCACACACCTACAAACCCACATATCCACACATCTACACACTTGACATCCACATACCACACACCCATATAGCTGCACATTCACATACCCATATACCTGCATATCCACACACCCATATACCTGCATATCCACACACCCATATACCTGCATATCCACACACCCGTATACCTGCACATCCACACACCCGTATACCTGCATATCCACACACCCGTATACCTGCATATCCACACACTCGTATACCTGCATATCCACACACCCACATACCTGCACATCCACACACCCGTATACCTGCATATCCACACACCCGTATACCTGCATATCCACACACCCGTATACCTGCATATCCACACACTCGTATACCTGCATATCCACACACCCACATACCTGCACATCCACACACCCGTATACCTGCACATCCACACACCCGTATACCTGCACATCCACACACCCGTATACCTGCATATCCACACTCACATACCTGCATATCCACACACCCGTATACCTGCACATCCACACACCCGTATACCTGCATATCCAC